GTCTGAAGAGATGCTTGATAGAATTTCAGACTTCTTAAATTTATTGAGACTTGTCTTGTGGCCTAATGTGATCTATCCTGGAGAAAATATCATGTACACTTGAGAAAAATCCATATTCTCCTGTTTTTAGATGAAATGTTGGGAATATATCTGTTAAGTCAATCTGGTTTAATGTGTTGTTCAGTGCCACTGTTTCCTTACTGATTTTCACTCTGGATGATCTATCCATTGTTGTACGTAGAGTGTTTAAGTCCCCTAGTGTTATTGTATTACTGTCAGTTTCTCCCTTTATGTCTGTTAATATTTGCTTTATAAAGTTAGGTGCTCCTAAATATTTATGGATATTGGTCTTATAATCATTGCATCTTCTTGGTCTGTTCTCTTTATCATTAAGTAACACCTTTTGTCTCTTGTTAGTCTTTGTTTTGAAAGCTATTTTGTCTGATACAAGTATTGCTCCTCCAGCTTTTTTTTATTCTATTTCCTTTTGCATGGAATATTTTTTCCATCCTTTCCCTGGAAGTCTATCTGTATCTTTAGGTCTGAAGCAGTCTCTTGTAGGCATATAGATAGGTCTTGTTTTTTTATCCATTCAGCCACCCTATGTCTTTGGAGCACTCAGTCCATTTACATTTAAAAATAATTATAGATAGGTGTGTGCTTACTGCCATTTTGTTCATTGTTTTTTGGTTGTTTTGTAATTACTCTTTTTACTTTCTTCTCTTGTTCTGGAATAAGGTTATCACAGTGACCTCCTGTTCTGCCATCTTCCTGACTCTGCCCCAAGCTTATGTACTTTAAACAAACTGGATGAATATGTTGTATACTGTTGGATATATTGAGAAGCATTACCACTTCAATATTTCTTCTAAGTTTTACTTATAACAGAATTAATTCTCTGAATTTGAATAAAATAATATATTTAAAGCATTAAGCAAAGGACATGGAATATGGTAAAATTTCAGTAAAGTTCTGTTTGGATCTGAGATCCAAAGGTCTTGAATTCTTTGAAACAAAAGAAGCATTAAATTTAGTAAGTATAGTTTAGGGGCTTGGAAATACCAGGTAATGCACAAGTATGGAAAGTGTTACAGGCTTGCAAATTAATATAACTGAAAATGAGGTCAGAGTGTTTGCCATTATGTAGCAGAAAACAGGCCAGGTTAAAATATGAACTAATGTCTATAAATAGTGTATTCTAGAATCATGGGTACCTTATTGATCATCTATCACTTTCTAGATAAGAAACCTTAAGCTTAAAATAAATAATCGATCTGTACCAGATCACACTACTAATTCATGGCAGAAAGATAAGTAGAGCAGTTTCTCTGTGGGGCTAGTTAAGAAGTAATAAATATATTTCTTGAATTTAGGAGAGCTAATTAGTGAGATACTGAAAATTAACTCATTTGGGAATGAATAGTATTTGGCATCCTCATGGATGTTTGTTTGTGAACCTAATAATAGCTACAATATACTATACCAGAAAACTGTCCTTTGGATAGGGGAGCTACTATATTCTCATAGTGATTAACATGTTTATATGTCCTGAATTATGGATTAAAAATCATGCCCATTAAATGTCATGACAACATGGAATCTATTAGGAGAATATGAGACACTTCCTAGTAATAATAGAATTAACAATTTGGTAGATTTCTACTTAGTTCAGTCAGATTGAACACTTCCTGTGCATGAGATACAGTGGTATATTATTAAATGTTGAACAACTGGCTCTCTGAGGACCCTGATTTGTAGCTTTTGCTCATCCACATGGTGTAAATAGTCCTATCATTGCTGATTTCCAGCTGCCAGTGTGCAGCCATTGAACCAGGCATTCAGAAAATGGAGTTTCATGACCATACATCCTAGTTTCAGCACAGCACTGGTCACAGTGATTGAGAGTTACACAGAGATGGACTAGACCACTCAACCAGCCAGAGGAAACTCCAGTAGAGATTAACCAAAGGCTATTATTGTCTGTATGTCAACAAGTTATGTATTTTAATATATGAACTGGCAAGAAAGTAAGGATTCCAACTGAAGATGGGAACCCAGATAGAGAACTGAACACTAAAAGCCATATTTTGCCTTGAGAACATTTGTCAAACTAATTGAACCTGAGCATCATTTCCTTGAGTTTTTATTCCCTTGAGAGGCTCAGAGAGCAGGAGGAAAACCCAAGGCTTTAATAACCAAAGTGGGGGATCTGGTAGAAGACCCCCTTCCCCAGTAAACTAGAAACCCTCAGGGCTAAACCTTCATGTTAAGAGTGAACAAAGAAATATACCTGGAGACTGCAAAAAAAATTGCCTCTTTTGAACTTTGCTAAGCAGAAAAGAAAAAAATTAAACTGTTCTAGAGAATTCATCAGCATAAACAAATTGGCCCTTGTGTCTGTCTGCAGCCTACATTCAGAGTTCTTGGATGATCTGAAAAATCTCAAGGTTAACATTTGGTTTCCTATGGTGCTGGACTGGTAGTGTCCAAGAAACAAGAATGTTGAAAATGAGAAGAGCAAATCAATTTGAAAAAATCAAATAGAGCTTCTAAAAAATAAAATTAAATAATAAAAATTAAATACTCACAGGACCAGTTTAAAAGCTTGAGAGAGAATTAGCGAATTGGAAGATTGGTCAGGAAAATTATCCAGACTGCTGCCTAGAAAGAAGGAATGTAAGAGAAAAAGGTCAGGAGTCATGGAGAACAGCAAGAAAGTCTTAAGAGGAGAAGGAAAGGATCATAGGCAATATTTGAGAATTAAAGACTAAAAACTCTTTAGAACTGATGAAAGATGCCAAACCATAGCTTCAAAGAAATTTCATAGAGCATCTATGACAGAAACTAGTATTCCTCATAATTGGTGTAGCACATACTGACATCTTGGCTTCCAAAATTTGAAGCAAATCATATGTAATTCCACCAATTAAATATCGTTTTAAAGTTCTTATGAGAAAAGACTTTCATAGCATCCCTTGGTAACACTGTTAGGTTTCAGTAGTCTGTTACTGTTTTCTCTTAAGTTTTCATGCCGTTTATACTACTTTAGCCCCTTGTTTATCCACCTCTTGCTAGTTCCCATGCAATTGTGAATAGGTATTTCTCAGAGCCATCAGGCTGTTGTTTACTCACTGAATTTGCAACAGCTGTCATCTTTTTGTCCTGATAGAGTGCCTAGTACTAGAAGTAGAATCATAAGATTGAAGGATACTTCAAGAATTCTTGTATTAATGTGCTCTAGGATGGCCCTTCCCCAAAGGAAATATAATAAATGCTAAATAAAATAAAATAAAATAAACTTAACATTTTGCATGACCCATCAGTTCCACTCCTGAGAGTTTATTCTGAAAAAACAATCACAGATGTGAGCAGTGCCCATGAAAGTAATATTTGCAGAATTGTGAAAAGGGAGCCAAACTGCCTTTTCTGAGTTATGTGACTCATATTGTCAGGCTTTCAGCAAGAGAATAGACAAGTCTGTAAATTTGAGTGTTTGTTATTTAAGATGATATCAAATCCTTAAAAACATTGCATGAATCCTGATAAATGGATAGTATGTGAATCCAATTTGTATTTTTATGTTCACTTTTAGAAAATATATTAATCTAAGCAAAACTAAGACAGTTATGTGTGATTGTTTTACTAAAAGATTCATCTCACCAAAGAATGTACCACAGTTTCTTCAATTAAACATCTTAACTACATATGAATTTTTTTATTCAAGTATCCAAAGTACCCTTGGAATTACATTAAAAGAATAAATACTAGTCATCATTTTCTGTATGTGTCTTACTACCTTTTCATCTTTAAAACAAGTTTTATTTAATATTTTTATAATTCAGACTTTTTAACCCCCAGTATTAAATTGGATATTAGATTAGATATTTTTACATGTTATTAAATGTTCTTTTTGGTCTTTTTTTTCAATGTACACTATTTCATTTTGTAAATATGCTATAATCATGTAACTTTTTGAGACATGTAAGTTCCATATCTTTTATCATTAAAACAATGATTTGGGGCACATTGTTCAGATCTGTGATTGTTTTTTCAGAATAAACTCTTAGAAGTAGAGTTGCTGGGTCATGTAAAATACTGTTTTTTTATCTATTAACACTTCTCATATTTCCTTTGGGAAAGGGCCATCCTAGAGCAGAATAGTACAAGAAGAGCATTTCTCCATCATTCTCCCAGCATTCACTGTGGTGTGTGCAGTGTGTGTGTGTGTGTGTGTGTTTTAACATTTTTAGTAGTGAAAATATCTCATTTGAATTACACTTCTCTGGTTACCAGTGAAGTTAAATGTTTTATTTTTATTTCCTAGATCCTTTTTCAAAGGACAGTCTTACAGATCATGAAATACTAAATCCTTTTTAGTGTCTTCCTATTATTCTCTGACTTCTCTGAAGAAGTTGATTCTTGACTAACCCTCCTTTCCTGTCCATGACTTAGGTTTTACCACACAACGCTAGTTCCCTCAGCTCACACATCACTAGCTCTTTTTCTTCCCACAGTTGAAATCATAGTACTATCCTCTGAAGATTCAGCCCTGTGCTTTTCCATCTGTAATTTTTTTCTTGGTCTGATACTCTCTTTTTGCTCCCCTTTGGTCATCTGGAAAACTTGTGTCTGACAGGAGGAAAGAGCTAGTGTTGCTGCCTTGGGGACCACCTGGCTCTCAGCATCCCACTGTCTTCCTTCCTCTTATCAGTCAAGCCCTCACTCTTTTCCGTTTACATTGTGACTAACTATTATCGTTCAGACTAACACTTGAGAAGTAAGTAATCTAATTCATCTGCCTGCCTCTTGTCACCCCCCCACCCCGCCCACAGTTCCTCTTACACATCAGTCCCGCCCACAGTTCCTCTTACACATCAGTAGCTTATTAACTAGCATGATCTTGTCATTTCTAAATCTCAGAAGCCTTAAATGAGTTCCCTTTAGAACAATTAAAGTAAGTTTTATAGACTCACTGATTAATACTCATTTGCTTACAATAGGTTGTTAAAATTACGCACTGCCCTACACTGCTCACCAGAGATGGAGATCGCATTAGAAGTAACGGCAAGTTCGGGGGTCTTCAGAATAAAGCTCCTCCGATGGATAAGCTTCGGGGAATGGTATTCGGAGCGCCGGTGCCAAGGCAGTGCCTGGCCACAGGGGAGCAAATAGGTAGGTTGAATAACTACCTAAATAACGGTTTCTCATGTAATCCTGATTTGGGACTTACATAATGATACTCTAACATGAAAAATTAACTAGTAAAAAATATGAATAAAATATTTTTGTCCAGTACTTTCAACTTTATATCAAGTAGTGTAGAATTTTATAGAAAGTAGGTTTCCCATCATATTCTCAGTCCTATCTTGAAATACAGAAACTGCTGCCCTTGTTGAGTAGTCAGTATATAATCAAATCATCATATTTCTTTTTTTCTTTAATGAAGTTATTGGGTTTTTAATTATTAAACTGTTCTTGTTTTCTGCAGGGCTATTGCTTAACTGTATAAAAATAGCACCAGCAAACACAGTATATTGCAAAGTTAAATAGTATTGTTCTTCATCTAATATAACATACAACAAAAACTTTCCTCCGCTGCCAGCTGTTCCCAATGGAAAGATCATTAAGTATTTTTACCAAAGTCTAGGGATGGATATAGGCAAGTTATATAAGGCTGAAGATAATAATGTTGTCCTTGAATCACATAATTTTCATACATAGCTTTTATACAGATAATTTTAGCAATTCTAAATACTGTAACTGTAGCCTAGCTTAAAAATCATAGGGTGTAGTAGGAAAGGTGTGTCCTGGGCTGATCTGCAGTCTTCAGGAAGATAAGGGGCATTTTCTTCCAGCAGCATTGTTGCAAGTAGTTTCTTTTCCATTGGTGCTGCTAAAAGTTGCTGTTTAAAGTTTTCTATCCACCATTAACTTAAGACAACCATACTAGATTAAGTTGTTTCACACTAGTTTACTTAGGGCTTCCATTTTCACTCCTCAGTAGATTTTATTTATTTCTCATATGGCTCTTCACTCATTACTTCATCTAGTTCTGAAGGATTACTCACTGTCATCTTGATCAGCCAACCATCTTCATAAGATTTGTTGACAAGTCCTGGGTTTTCTGCAAGAGCTTCCTTAATTTCAGTTCCTTCTGATGGAGAAGAGTAGAGTTCAGTAGCAGCTTCACACTTTCCAAAGCTCCAGACTCATCTTGTTTGTTCAGTTTTGTCCCAGCTGCAGGCAGACTACAGTAAACAACATCTCCCAAATCTTCCTGTACAAAACTGCTGATTCCACGTTCAGATACCATTTTGTGTTGTTACCCATTCATGTTCATCTGTGAATTTACACATGGAGAGAGAGCAGGGTCCTGCAGAGCATCTGGATGGCTCCCACCCTCAGCTTCCAGGGCGGTGTGCAGGCTGTGACTGCGGTCCGTATCCTCTACGCCACTCACAGTGCCATGTTTGCAGGGCATCATACTTCTTTTTATGTCAAAATTGACAACTATCTAGAAAACAGCTAAAAGCTTTTTTAGGGTGCATGACTGTGACCTCCCTCCCCAGTCTTTCCTTCTACAGACTATGTCCCCTTGATTCTAGTCAGCCAATATAATTGTCTCTACATTTGTGCTCTGAAGTGCATACACTTTTCAGGAGTTCCACTGCAGACGATTACCTTAGGACCTGTTTGCTCTTAATTTTATATAGTTCTGTTATGCTTAGTTAACTACTTTTCCAGCAAAGAATAGTTTGCTATTATTGCTAACTTAAAAAATAATGGTAAATTGTGGCAAAATACTAAAAATTCACCATCTTAACCAATTTTAAGTGTACAGTTCAGCAAAGCTAAGTACATTCACACTGTCGTACAACCAATCTTCAGAACTCTTCATTTTACAGAACCAAACTACCCATTAAATAGCAGCTCTTTAGTCTCCCTTCCCCCTGGCCCTTGGCAACTAGCAGGGTTTCTGTCTACCGAATTTGACAACTTGAGGCACCTCATAGAAGTGGAATCATACAGTATTATTGTGATTGTGATTGACTTATTTCACTTAGCACACCTTCCATGTGCATTCATGTCAGAACTTCCTTTCTTGCTAGGTACGAATAATATTCAAATCCGTATTTTGTTGCTAATTTATATTAAAGTATAATACATGCACTTTTCCTAAACATACTTTAAATTTTCACAAAATTAACACTGCCCCAATATTAAAAAATAGAATATTATCAGCACCATGGAAGGTCTCTTGGGCCCTCTTCCAGTCACTGCCAACCCTCTTCAAAGGATAACAACTTCCTTGAAAGTCTTAAAAAACAACGTAGATTAGAGGTGGAGCTAAGATGGCAGCATGAGTTGAGCAGCGGAAATCTCCTCCCAGAACCACATATATTTTTGAAAATAAAACAAAGACAACTCTTCCTAAAAGAGAGACCAGAAGACACAGGACAACATCCAGACCACATCCACACCTGTGAGAACCCAGTGCCTTGCAAAGGGGGTAAGATACAAACCCCGGGCGGCGGGACCCAAGCGCACCACAGCCCAGCTCCGTGCGGGAGAAGAGCAGTCAGAGCGGGGAGGGAGAGGGAGCCCAAGACTGATAAATAGCCAGCCCTAGCCATACGCACCAGAGCACAGACACAGTACATGTGTGGGGTCCTGGATACTAGGGAAACAGGACAGTAAGACCTGTGAGCAGGTCTCTGCAGCCGACGCCCTGGGGACAAAGAAAAGCGAGTGCTTTTTGAAAGTCTTAAAGGGACAGGGATCTCAAAGCCAGATGGAAGCATCCTGGGACACAGTCCAGCAGCAGGGAATCTGGGGAACTCTGGGCATTCTAACCCCCTGGGCAGCAGGGAGCACAGAGGCCCCTCACAGAGATAAATAGCCTTCCGGCCATTCTCCCTCCAAAGCAGCTCCACCATATCGGAGTGGCAGGCCATGCCTACAGAACAGCTGAGATAAACTCCATAGTGGCCAGGCAAGAATCAGAAACCCCGTCTGCGCGCAACTGCACAACACAAGCCACTAGAGGTCGCTATTCTCCCACAAGAAGGGAAGTTCTTCCAGCCGTGACTCATGCCAACTCTAAACTCTCTCTATCGCCATGAAAAGGCAAAATTTCAGGCAGACCAAGATAACAGGGACAAAACCTGAGACGGAGACAGACCTAACCAGTCTTCCTGTAAAAGAATTCAAAATAAAAATCATAAACATGCTGACGGAGATGCAGAGAAATATACAAGAGCTAAGGGATGAAGTCCGGAGGGAGATTACGGACACCCGGAGGGAGATTACAGACATCCAGAAGGAGATTACAGAAGTGAAACTGCTGTAATTTTACAGCTGTGAAAATAAAATCACAGCAAAGAAAGCAGACCAACCAAATACTAACTAAAGGCAAAAAATAAAATCAACTACCCACTAAAAGCAGTTAAAGAAAACACAAAAGAGCACAGAATAAAACAACCAACATATAAAGAATGGAGGAGGAGGAATAAGAAAGGAGAGAAGAAAAGAATCTCCAGACAGTGTATATAACAGCTCAATAAGCAAGCTAAGTTAGGCAGTAAGATACTAAGGAAGCTAACCTTGAAACTTTGGTAACCACAAATCTAAAGCCTGCAATGGCAATAAGTACATATCTTTCAATAGTCACCCTAAATGTAAATGGACTGAATGCACCAATCAAAAGACAGAGTAATAGAATGGATAAAAAAGTAAGACCCCATATATATGCTGCTTACAAGAAACTCACCTGAAACCCAAAGACATGCACAGACTAAAAGTCAAGGGATGGAAAAACATATTTCAGGCAAACAACAGAGAAAAGAAAGGGGTTGCAGTACTAGTATCAGACAAAATAGACTTCAAAACAAACAAAGTAACAAGAGATAAAGAAGGACATTACATAATGATAAAGGGCTCAGTCCAACAAGAGGATATAACCATTCTAAATATATATGCACCCAATACAGGAGCACCAGCATATGTGAAGCAAATACTAACAGAACTAAAGAGGGAAATAGACTGCAATGCATTCATTGTAGGAGACTTCAACACACCACTCACCCCAAAGGATAGATCCACCGGGCAGAAAATAAGTAAAGACACACAGGCACTGAACAACACACTAGAACAGATGGACCTAATAGACATCTATAGAACTCTACATCCAAAAGCAACAGGATATACATTCTTCTCAAGTGCACATGGAACATTCTCCAGAATAGACCACATACTAGCTCACAAAAAGAGCCTCAGTAAATTCCAAAATATTGAAATTCTACCAACCAATTTTTCAGACCACAAAGGTATGAAAGTAGAAATAAATTCTACAAAGAAAACAAAAAGGCTCACAAACACATGGAGGCTTAACAACATGCTACTAAATAATCAATGGATCAATGAACAAATCAAAATAGAGATCAAGGAATATATAGAAACAAATGACAACAACAACACTAAGCCCCAACTTCTGTGGGATGCAGCGAAAGCAGTCTTAAGAGGAAAGTATATAGCAATCCAGGCACACTTGAAGAAGGAAGAACAATCCCAAATGAATAGTCTAACATCACAATTATTAAAACTGGAAAAAGAAGAACAAATGAGGCCTAAAGTCAGCAGAAGGAGGGACATAATAAAGATCAGAGAAGAAATAAACAAAATTGAGAAGAATAAAACAATAGCAAAAATCAACGAAACCAAGAGCTGGTTCTTTGAGAAAATAAACAAAATAGATAAGCCTCTAGCCCAACTTATTAAGAGAAAAAGAGAGTCAACACAAATCAACATAATCAGAAATGAGAATGGAAAAATCACGACAGACTCCACAGAAATACAAAGAATTATTAAAGACTACTATGAAAACCTATATGCCAACAAGCTGGAAAACCTAGAAGAAATGGACAACTTCCTAGAAAAATACAACCTCCCAAGACTGACCAAGGAAGAAACACAAAAGTTAAACAAACCAATTACAAGCAAAGAAATTGAAACAGTAATCAAAAAACTACCCAAGAACAAAACCCCGGGGCCGGACGGATTTACCTCGGAATTTTATCAGACACACAGAGAAGACATAATACCCATTCTCCTTAAAGTGTTCCACAAAATAGAAGAAGAGGGAATACTCCCAAACTCATTCTATGAAGCCAACA